CATTCTTAACTCTATTCTCAAATTGAAGGCTGTAGGGGTGTGATCAACTTAGTGAGCCTAATTTTCCCTGGCAGTTCCTTGGACTGGTTAGAGAAGGGAAATGAGGCTCGTTCTGTGGCAGGAAATAGCTACCCCTTCACCAGCACTGCATAAGTCTGCTCCATGCTGATCTCCTCACAATGGGGCTATGGACAGACCGCCTGAGAAACATGTAATTTCTCTCATAAGCTTCAAAGTCATGGTAACAGTATTATGCTTATGAGCTCGACCTCTGAAGTCAGACAGACCTGGGTTCAAATCCTGACTCTTCCTCTGATGAGCTCTATGGTATTGGTAAGCTGATGATCTCTCTAAGTGTCAGTTTCCTTATTTGGAATGGTATTAGCACCATCTACCTCGTTGTGAAAATTAAACGGACTAATGAATGGACAGCACTTAGCACAGAGTACTTAATATTAATGGTACTTAATAATCATTCAATAAACTTTGCTTTAACATGCTCTAGGTATCATTTATACAAATTTTAGAGATGTGGGACGACTAATATTCTCTGTGTGCTAAAACTTCAAAACTTCTCCCTCCCTTCCTGCATTGATGTCTGAAGATTCATTTGATAGGAGGCAGTTGTTGCTCAAAGGAGTTAGCATCTAATGGATGTTCTGTGGTAACTTGGGTCCCTCTGGAATTACACATTAGATAGCTCGGGTGATGGGGGCATTGGCTAGTAGTTCAATGTTCGCTTTAGAATCCATGTGGTATTTCTGTGGAAATTCCCTTTATGTCTATGAAACATCCACATGTCAAAAGTGATTTTCATCTTCATTCCTCCCACCATTCTGACCCCCTTATAGGACAAGAGCTTCATTATCCCTTTTTTTCAGATTTACTTGAGAGACTTCTGTCTTTGCCGAGCTTGGTACCCAGGTCATCTGGAGGCTATTGAAAGGGAAGGATCAGTTCGTAGTCAGAGTCATTCATTTCTCCCTCCAGCTCATCTCTATCCAGGTATTGGCTGTCAGCACTCTACTAGGCTCACAGTTTTTGTTTTGTTTTTCAAACAGGCAGCTTGTTGTCATGGGGCCCCATACACCTTTACCCTCACCTGCCAGCAGATGCTACTTGCCCATTAGTTCACCAGTGCTTAGATCAGTGTTACACCATTTAATGGGATTTCTAAAAGTATCGTTTGCAGCAGAAGCCTGTCTGTTGGAAATCGTTCTGGGGATTCCAACATATCCCCCATTCATTTCCTCTATCTCCCTCACTCTCATGCTTTTTGTGTTCCCTGGATCATGATAGCATGATAGCACCAGCAAGTTGATATCTTGGCATCATCCATGATCCCCTTCATCCTTACCCCAGCAGCCACTCAACCTTCAGATTCTGTTGCATCTGCCTCCACAATTCTCCTTGATTTTATCTTCTTCTTTCCTTCCCCACAGGCATTGTCCTAGTCCAGGCTACCTCACCTTGTCACCCACAGTGCTTCTGGATTGACCTCTCTGCCTCCAGTCTTTTATCAAATATTGCAGAGAGAATCATCTTTCTGAAACACACAACTGACCACCAATGATGTCTTGTTGCCCTGTGGACAAACTGCATGCTCTTCAGTGGAACTTACAGCACTGTGCACCAGGACACAGTGGGTCACAGGGAGAACCTCAAAGTTAGGCATATGGGTTGAAAGGATGGCTCCATCACTTACTAGCTATGTGACCTTGAATGAATTGTGTTTGCAGTTACCTCAAATTAGAGTTAATCATATTACTTCATAAGATTGTTGTGAAGATTCAATGTGATGATACAGGTAGAGTTCTCTGACTAGAGCCTGATGTGTTTTAAGCATTCCAAAATGTTAAGTACTGTGACTACAAGTGCTGCATGGCTAACTACATATGTCCTAACAGCTGGGGTGCTGGGGTGCTGACAAAAAAAACAAGTTGTCTAGAAATCTAACTTGCTTCCTTCTATATCTGCAGTGAAAATGGACTGAAGAATATTAAAGAACTCTATCATTTCTGATCACTGATCTAGGAAAAATACTAAGGAGATGACACCAGCATCTGGAGTGGGTGTGTGTGGGAGGGAAAGGAGGAGGCAAAGGTGTGATTTGATGTATCACTTCAGCTAGAGATGTAATGCAGTGGTGTGGTTTTTTACCATCACTGAAACCAAGAGTGAAAGATGAATTTAATGGGTTCTAGATCAGTCTAAACCAGGCTGACGTTTTCTAAGTCCAGCATGGCAAAGGGCACCACGCCTATAAAAACTGACATGGCAAGAAGTTCGAGACCAGCCTGAGTGACATGGTAAAACCCCATCTCCAGCTGAAGTGATTTGTACTAAAAATAAAAATATTTGCCAGGCATGGTGGTGGGTGCATATAATTACCCTGTTACTTGGGAGGCTGAGGCCGGAGAATCACTGGAATGCAGGAGGTGGAGGTTGCAGTGAGCCAAGATTGTGCCACTGCACTCCAGCCTGGGCGACAGAGCAAGACTTCGTCTCAAAAACAAAAATAAAACAGAAAAATTGGCTTGGTTTCTGGGCTACACTGATACTAATATTTCACACATTTGTAGTCCCCACCTTGTTACATCAAAACTTCATTATTTGGACTCTGCAGCTGTAAACAAAAATTCTATGACTTTAAAACATTTAATATATAAACTAAGTATACAGAAAGTAATTATGTTTCAAAGGATAGCTTTTAAAACTTTGTAATGCTTTCCATCTCTAAATTTTGTTAGGCCTAAATAAATGGCTTTATATTTCCAAAGAGGGTCCATTATCTCAATGATTTTAAATTGAGCTTTCTAGAACTATACCATTTTTGTATAAAATTTAATTAGATAAGACAGCCTCTGCAGTTTTTCCCTTATCTATTTATATGAATGAGACCATCCTTTGAAAAACATGTGTTCTGTAGTGGCCCACTGAAGGGAAATTAGACAAATGCAGCCAAGAGAAATTTTGTCATCAACCAGCCAAGAAGATAAAAATGCCAAGTACCTGCTCACCTGATTTGTTTCAAGTAGGATGGGAGTGTATCTGTTTCATTCAAAGATTTCTTGGTTTTACCTTCTAGAAGTCTCCTGTCTTTGGGATTTCCCTAGATCAGTGGTTCTTAGCCAAGGAGGATTTCACCTCCAGAGGACCTTTGGCAGTGTCTGGAGATGTTTTTAGTTTTGCAACTAGATGGGTGTTACAGGGATCTAGTGGTTAGAGGCCAGGGATGCTGCTGAACATCCTACAATCCATGGGACAGGCTCCTGCAGCAAAGGATTACCCAGCCCCAAATGTAGTTGTGAGACCCTGGAATAGATGTTTTTGGCCTGGCAGGATAGTCTGGGTGAGGCTTTTTCTGGTGCTTATCCTGAACATCCATCCAGAATAGCTCTGGATAGGACTTAGTCCCAAAAGGTCTCCAGTGAACTCTCTGGGCTAGAGAAATAAGTTTGCTTCAGTTCTTCCCCTAAAATCTCCCTCACTTGTTTACTGAGGCCTAAAATTATATCAAGCCCCTTTTCAAAACTTGAAATGAGGTTTAAATTGTGACTATATCTGAGAAGGAGGACAGGCTGACTTCAATTTTCAAAAAAATACATGGGCAGTTATAATCTTTTTTTCTTTTCTTTTTCTTTCTTTTTTTTGAGACAGAGTCTGGCCCTGTCGACCAGGCTGGTGCCATCTCACTGCAACCTCTGCCTCCCAGTTCAAGCAGTTCTCCTCCCAAGTAGCTGGGATTACAGGCATGTGCCACCACGCCTGGCTAATTTTTGTATTTTTAGTAGAGACGGGGTTTCACCACGTTGGCCAGGCTGGTCTCGAACTCCTGACCTCAAGTGATCTAGCCCTGTCAGCCTCCCAGACTGCTGGGATTACATGTTTGAACCACTGTGCCCAGCCTAGAATTTTCTTGACAAGCAATTTCTATGAGACAGGGAAAACACAAAGTCCCTGGGCAGGGTTGGCAGATTTAGCAAATAAAAATACAGAATACCCAGTTAATTTGAATTTTAGATAGGCAAGACATAATATTTTAGTGTAACTATGTCCCAAATATGATATGAGACATATTTATACTAAAAACTTATTTGCTATTTATCAGAGCTTCATGTTTAATTGGACATCCTGCATTTTATCTGTTCACTTTATCTCTGGTTGATTAGAGAAGGTGAAGGTATTTCTTGAAGAAGAGAAAAGAAGCCCAGAGTTGGGGATCTATAAGATGTATTGTACCTGTGATCAACTTATTTAATCTCTCTGTTCCTGAGTTTTGCCAGGTGCAAAATGGGGGTACAAATAGTACTTACTTCATAGAGAAGTTATGAGGATTGTTAGTTAATATACATAAAGTACTTGAAAAAATGCCTGACTACGTAACAATGTTGTCCCTGTTAGCTATTATTATTATTATTATTATTATTATTACTGTAAGTATTATTCCGAGAAAACAGGATGCATCTTGGCCTTGTCTTTTCTCTTTTGGACTATTGAAATTAACTTTACTTTTATGACTTGGAAGGGTAGCAAATAAGGAATCCCCTCCCCCAACTTTTCCAAGGGAGATAAGAATGTGGCTGTCATTTGGTACTGCTATTGGGTAACAGACAACCTCCAAACCAAGGCACCCATTTTGCTTTGAAAATGATTAGTTGCCAAGAAGAACCATCTGCATTTCAGAGTAGCTCCATGTTTGAATTTTGCCAGTTGCCAACCTGACAGTACTTGCATTAATCCTGTCAGATATCTAAGATGAGTTACAGTCACTACAGAGAAAGAGTCTACAAGACAATTTGTCCACGCTGATTCTGCAGTGAAGAATGATTAGAGTTCTGGGTAGAGCAATTTTCCTGTGGATATCTGAATTTATACCTATAGCTGAATGTAACAAAGAGTTTCTTCCGTATAGGGTTTTAAAAATCCTTTTCACAGAGATGTCTGAAGTATTCTATTCTTCTTTTCAAAAATCTTTAATAACTTTTTCTTACTTACAGAAGAAGAGAATTGTATGAGATCAGTCAGCATCTGAAGGGAAAACAAGGGCAAGATTAACCCAGAAGGAATCTAAGAAGGAAGACAGGAGAAGGACAGAGCTTTATCTTGAAACCAATGGAGAAGAGCATTTCAAAATAGAATGGTTGGTAATCAGTGCCAAATTCTTAGAGTTAGGAACCTGTTGGGAGGGAGTCTAAGAGTGAATAGAAGACTTTTGATCTAGATGATTGCATAAATTGTTACTTTGACACACTTTTATCTGCTCCTAACACACAGTAATGACAGCTAAAATATAAGAGAAGACAATTCAAAAGATACATTTAACCTAAAATATACAGTCACTGAAATCAAGAAACAAAAACAAAAGCAAAAATCCTCAATAGGTATAATGAATTATAGTTTGAACACAGTTAAAAAGAGCATTAGAACTTTGGAAGATAATATAGAATAATTAACCCAGAAAACAGAACAAAAACATAAAGAGATTCAAAAATATGAAAAAGGAATTAAAAGACACAGCAAGTAGATTTATAATTTTCCATATTTTTAAGAGGAGTTCCAAAGAAAGAGACTAAATAAAATGCTAGATATTTAAGAGGTATTTGACATTTTTCCTGAATTAAAGAAAGACATGAATTCTTACAGCAAATGTGCACTTATGAACTCAAAATTACAAGTAGGACTAGTAAAGATAAATTCACATTATTGTGGGTTGAATCATGTTCTGCAAAAGACATGTGGGGTCTTAACTCCTGGTACCTGTGAATCTGTTTTTTCACATGGGATCTTTGAAGACGTAATCAAATCATACTGGATTAGGATAAGCCCTAATTCTGTGAGTGGAAGAAGAGGAATATTTGGATACAGAAATACAAAGGAAACACAGGGAAGAAGTCCATATTAAATCAGAGGCAGAGGTTAAAGTGATGCAGCTGCAAGTCAGCAAACACCAAAAATTGCCCACAACCATGAGAAGCTAGGAAGGAGGCAAGGGAGGATTCTTCTCCACAGCCTTCAGAAAGAGCATGGCCCCCTGCTAACAATTTATGCGATAAAACCCTTTGAGAACGGTTTGACAGTTTCTTAAAAGACTAAATGTATACTTGTCATACAACTCAGCCATTTTACTCCTAAGTGTTTACCCAAGGGATGTGAAAACATGTCCACACAAAGACTTGTGCATGAATGTTCATAGCAGCTGTTTGTGTAATATCCAACGCCCCCAAAATGCAAATAGCCATCAACTGGTAGAAATACAGTAATTATGATGTATCCGTACAATGAAATCCTCAGCAATGAAAAAGGGCAAACTTGATAAACACAATTGTAAGGATCCATCTCAAAATTGTTATGCTGAGTGTCAGAAGCTAGATATAACAAAGAATACATACCAAAGGATTCCATTTATTATATATAACATTTTAAGAAATACAAACTAATATATAGTGACAGATAAGTGGTTGTGTGAGGATGGGGTGGAGGGAAGTATGCATTATGACAGGGCACCAGGAAATTTTGGGAGTGGTAGATATGTTCATTATTTTGATTATTTTGATGTTTCAAAGGTGTATACCTATGTCAAAATTCATCAAATTGAACCCTTTCAACATGTGCAGTTTCTTGTATGTCAATTACACTTCAATAAAAAAGCAAAAAAAAAAGAGTCTACTCATTAAAAGGTATACAAGAAATGAATCAATAAAACCATAGGCTGATGGAAAATATCTGTGATACCTGTATCTGACAAAATACTTAGATCTAAACTATATAAAGAATTCTAACCACTCAAAAATAAAATGATTAATGACACAAAAACAAATGAGTTATGAAAGGCCAGTAAGTTCATGTAAGGCTGCCCAACATCATTAGACATTAGGGAAATATAATAAAAATCACAAGAAAATATCACTTTATACTAAGTAAGTTAGCTAAAATTAAAAAGATATACAATAATAAACATAAGCAAGGATGTGGAGCAACTGTGACTCTCATACATTGCTGCTGAGAAAGTAAAATTAGATAGGTAATTTGAAAAACTGTTTTGCATTTCCTTTTGAACTTTATTATAAAGTTAAGCATATACCTACCCCATGACTTATAGATATTTCCACAAGAGAAATGAACACATATGTCCATAAAAAGACTTTTATTAGAATGTTAATAGTGGCTCTATTTGTAATAACCCAAACTTGAAACAACTTAAATGTCCCTCAACAGGTAGAATAGATAAACAGACTGTGGCATATTTAAGCATTAAAATAATACGCAGCAGTAAAAGGGGGGAGCTACATGGAGCAACATGAATATACTTCTAAGACATTATTTTGAGTAAAAGAAACAAACTGCAAACGACTCTATTATTACATTTAAGACAGAAATAAAACAGTGGCTGCCTATGGGATGTTGGCAGTGCTGGTGTGGGGGTAGGATTTATCAAAGGGGCAGGAAGAAACCTCCTGGGGGATAGAAATGTCCTATATCTTGCTCTTAAAAATCTGTGTATTTTATTGTAGGTAAGTTATATCTCACTGAAAAATGAATATTAAAAAAGCAAGGACCAAAGAGCTAATGCAAATATGATGAAATGTTGGTAGTTGGTGAATCTGGGGAATGGGCTGATGGGGGGTTATCAAACCATTCTCTCTATTTTTGTATATGCTGGAAAACATTTATAACAAAATTGAAAGCATAGTAAAAAGATCTTACTTATAATACTAATTAAACCTGCAAAATGCCAACAAATATTACTGATATACAAGACTTCTATGAGTTTATAGACTCGTGAACTAAACCATAAATATTATTGTGGATGTCAACATTTGAAGAAGTGGAGAGATATGTTATGGGGGAAAGACTCAATATTTTAAAGATGTCATTATTTTGTGAGAATAATCTTGACATTATACGGAATTTTAGTAAAAATTGCAACAGAAATCTTTACAGCAGTGAATGTGCTTAAACCTAAAATTCAATGGAAGAGAAAAAGTTTGTGCAAAGCCTTAATGACTCTGAATAGGGAGAACAAGTAGGAACCTTGATATTTACCTTTACAATGTTAAGCTCTAATAATTGAGAACTATATTGTTCTAGAATCATTTATTGAATAATTTTTTTCTCCTACTGATTTCTAATGCCCTCTCCCCCTCTGCTAAAAATATCAAGTTTCTGTATATCAAGGTCTGTATCTGCATTCTCTATTCTGTTCTATTGGTCTATTCGTATATTCCCAGATTAATAGCTAGCACTGCTTTTCCAACATCTCATGAGCATTGTTTTTATTTGACTCAAGATGTTTTTTAATTTCCCTTATGACCTCTTCTTTGACCCACTGGTTTTTTAAGATGGTGTTTTTTAATTTCCACATATTTATGTATTTCCAACTTGCCTTCTGCTATTGATTTCTAGTTTATTTTTTATCATGTTTAGAAAAAGATACTTCATATGATATTAATCTTTTAAAATTTGTTGAGATTTGTTTTATGGCTGTACATTTTTTTAAGGAAGGATAGCTTAATTGGTTTTAGGTCCTGCATATGAAAATTCCAATCATAGTTGGGTGTGAATTCATGGGCACAGTCATTGTTGTTATATTTCTAAATGGGGAATCTGGGAAGTATTACATAATCATGAATTACAATCACAAATCCAAAATTAAGTCATCTATTTTACAATCTCAATGAAAATCACATATGGAACCTACAATCATAGCCTCATAAAGTTATGTGCTGGTCAAATTGGTCTTAGTGGTCACTTAATGTGTCCTCTTCTGTTGTAGATGAAGAAAGGGGTTCTGCCTGTTCCAAAGGAGTGACTCTCAAAGGAGCAGGAACTGACCATAGGTTATGGCTTGTGTTACGACACACTGATGATGTCTTTGAGGCCATCCACTGACGTCCTCAACCATGGCATAAGCAAGTTTTTCTGAAGGTATTATTGGATGTTTACAATGTTTGCATAGTCTAAAATTTAGAACTATTTTTAACTAGATTTATTCCTTAGAAAAGTTTTAGATTCACAGCAAAATTGATCGGAAAGTGTAGAGAGTTCCCACATCTTCTGCCCGTACACAAGCACAGACTCCCTAACTAGCAACATCCTGTACCAGAGTGGTACATTTGTTACAATCAATTAACCTAAACTGAGAAATCATTATCATCCAAAGACCATAGTTTAAACTAGGGTTCACTCTTGGTGTTGGTATATTCTGTTTTTAAATATAGTAATAATACTTATAGAAAATTTTCCACTTAGGCATTTATACTATACAGTTCAGTAGTGTTAAGTATATTCATATTGTGGTGAAACAGATCTCCAGGGTTTTTTCATCGTGCAGAACTGAAACTCTATACCCTTTAAATCACAACTCCATTTTTCCTCTTCTCCCCAGCCCCTTGATAACCACCATTCTACTTGCTTTTTCTATGAATTTGACAACTCTAGGTACCTGATATGAGTGGAATCACACAGTATTTGTCTTTTTGTGACTGGATGATTTCATTTAGCATGTCTTCAAGGTTCATCCATGTTGTAGCATGTGACCAGACTTCCTTCCTTTTTAAGGCTGAATTATATTCCATTGCATGTATATATAACATTGTGTTTATCCAGTCATCTCTTGATGAACACTTGAGTTGCTTCTACCTTTTGGCTAGTGTGGGGATAATGCTGCTATGAACATGTTGAGACCCTACTTTCAGTTCTTTTGGGTATATACCCAGAATGGGATTGCTGGATCATATAGTAGTTCTATTTTTAATTTTTGAGGAATTACCATACATTTTCTGTGGCAATTGTACCATTATACAGTCCTACCAACACTGATTCCAGTTTCTTCACATCCTCACCAAGACTTGTTATTCTTTTTTCTTTCTTTTTAAATAACAGATATTCTAACAGGTGTGAAGTATAGCATTTAGAACCTGTGAATCTCTCTCTCACAGATTTCTTTCTCATGACTGAACTTCCACAGATTTTTGTTTGTTCATTGTGTTAGGGTTAACTGCCAACTTCCTATTTAGGATTGGAACAAAAATTCTACAGACAAAACATGGAGGGAAATGACATGTTTCCTAAGGAAGAGAAAGAGACTTGTGAGATATTATATATCAATGAATTATTCCTGAAAAGCGTTAAAGTAGGGAAATTATCCTGATTACCCAGGTGGGCAGATATAATCATATGAGCCCTTGAAATCATAAAAGGAAGGTACAGGGGAAGTCAGAGGGCTTTGAAGTATGAGAAGTGCTAAATCCACCATTGCTGACTTCAAGACAGAATGGGAACATGGGAACCATGAGGAGGAAATGAATTCTGTTGTCAACATGCATGAGCCAGAAAGTAGATTCTCCCTTAGAACCTCCCATGAAAAGCCCTGACACCCTGAGTTTGGCCTTGTGAGATCATAAGCAGAATCCCAGCCAAGTTTGTTGGACATCTGACTTATAAAACTGTGAAATAATAAACGAGGGTTGCCTTAAGCTGCCAGGTTTGTGGTAACTTACTGAGGCAGCAATAGAAAACTAAAGCACTAGATATTCATATGTGTTAAAAAACATTAGAACGTTTTCTCCAAATGAAATATTTGGATGACTGCAGAGCTTCTTTGGTCACATCTAGGGAGTGTGCGTGAGAGTCTACTGAACGTCGCTTCCAGGCATCTCCTGAAAGCATTTGAATAGATTCAGGTGTAGACATCCTATGAGTGAGCCTGATCTCAATACTTAACTACAATGCACTATGCCCTCTGTTACTTCTCCATGGTTCCCACTGGACTGTATAGTCAATGGGAGCAGGAACCATTTCTTCTTAATTTTCATTTCCCCAGAGCAAAACACAGTGCTGGCACAAGGTAGGCACTCAATAAGTATTTTTATGAATGAATGTTAAGTGAGTTTGACAGCTTATGTCTCCAGATGACAATATTGGTGGATAGAGGCAGAGAAAGGAACTAGAAGCACAGTGGTGAACAAGATAGAGGAAGAAAGAATTTCATGGACAAAGGAATGTAGAGTTTAATACTTGCGTAATTGTTGTTGATTTAAAAAATTTTCTTGATATATTTTTCCTACTGGCACCACCAGCGGAATCAATTTCAGGAAGTAGACTGACCATTGCATAAGTGGCTTGTGAAACATCACGGCGTAACTTACATTCCCAACAACTTGAATAAATGTGTGTGTGTGTGTGTGTGTGTGTATGTGTGTGTGTGTGTGTGTGTGTAGTTTACCCCCCAGCTACAATTATCTTGGCTTCCCTGCAGCTGAAGTCAGATTTGTGTTTAGTAATCTTGTGATGACTAGAGTACCCCAGGGTTGATGCCCCCATATGTGAGGAGCTGAGACTCCATGCAGCTTGGTCGGGTATGGGTACTCAAACAGTCCAGGGAACTTGATTGAAGCTCCAAGAACCTGGAGATGGCCTGGGGGGCTGCAGCAGGAGAACACATACGACTGGTTACACCCTAAAGGCAAGCCAGAGGCAGCGACTGTGCAGATGGCAAGCCACAGGTGGCTGTGAGGAAGGCAAGCCACAGGAGCATGCAGCAACTGGGAGGAACCCTAAACACACACACCCCCAACTCATTTTTATGAAGACTGACTCTGTCTTGAAAACTAATTAAATAAATGCCAGCCCAGTCTTTCTTCCCAGTGCACTTCTTACTATTTTGGTCACTGTAACTGAGAGTAAAAATAATCTCTGCTGTGCCTGAAAAACAGCTACTGGCTACTCTATTTTCTATGATGTAGAAAAACATGAGACGAATGTGACAACTGGCCTTCAAGGAATGGCAAATGGCTGTATATCCAGTTTCACTGGTTGTGCTCTACGGTTTGTGATTTTTTGTTAGTGAAGTAGATCACCACATGCTTTCAGGGTTTTGTTTTTTTATTTTTGTTTTTGTTTTTGTTTTTTTTCCCTGGTACTAGAGCAGAGAACTATTATCAGAAGTGCATTTTATGACTTCAATCTAGGTTATGAATTTGGGTCAGCCATTTTGCCATTTAAATTCCCCACTTCTTGTTCTTAAAAAAACAAAACAGGGCAGACACAGTGGTTCACGCCTGTAATCCTAGCACTTTGGGAAGCCGAGGCGGGTGGATCATCTGAGGTCAGGAGTTCAAGACCAGCCTGGCCAACATGGTGAAACCCTATCTCTGCTAAAAATACAAAAATAAATTAGTCAGGCGTGGTGGCACTTGCCTGTAATCCCAGCTACTTGGGAGGTTGAGGCAGGAGAATTGCTTGAACCTGGGAAGGAAGGTTGCAGTAAGCCAAGATTGCACCACTGTACTCCAGCCTGCGTGACAGAGCAAGACTCTGTCTCAAAACAAAACAAAACAAAACAAAAAAGAACAGAATACGCCAAAGAGGAGATGAGAGGTAGAGGAACTTGAAAGTGTTTGCTTTTAAAGCTAGCTTCTGCACTTTTCTTATTTGATCACTTGATGATTTTGTCTACTTTCCATGAACTCTAAATTTTACGCTGGATTGAGAAGAAATATGTCTTCTATATATGGGCAGATCTGGTTTTGTGGAGCTTGAGCCTTAAGCAGTGCCAGAAACCCTTTTTAAGAAAAAGAATACAGGCCAGGCATGGTGGGTCATGCCTATAATCCCAGAATTTTAGGAAGCCGAGGAGGGAGGATCCCTTGAGGCCAAAAGTTTGAGACCAGCTTGGGCAATATAGAAAGACCTTACTTTACAAAAATAAATAAATAAATAAATAAATAACCAGGTATGGTAGAGCACACCTGTAGTCCCAACTACTTGACAGACTGAGGCAGAAGGATGGCTTGAGCCCAAAATTTAAAGGCTGCGGTGAGCTATGAGCAGGCCACTGCACTTCAACCTGGGTGAGAGAGTGCGAGATCCTGCCTCAAAATAATAAGAATAATAATAAAAGAGAGAAAGGAGAGAATTTTAAAAACACACAGAAGTATCTACTTTGGCAAATTTTACAAAAATTTATGACCCCATGAACACATCATCTCCTCCAGAGCCCGGGAATAGTTTGTGCAGATGAGCGGCCCTGATCTTACACTTTGTGACTCCCTGGTAAATCCACCTCTGAATCTATAGATGAGAATCATGTTGCTTTCCCGAGAAGAATGGAATGTGGCAAGAACAAAATACTGTATTAATCCAATCAGACCTAAAAGGAATCCTGCCATTTTACAGATGAACAGAGGATGAAACTGAGGCTCAGAGAGGACATGTAACATCCCAGGTCACATATACAATCAGTATTAGATTCTGCTTCTTTTAATTTCAATTTTCAGACTGGTATTTCTATTCTATTTTACATAGGAAAGCTTGTAAAACCAGAGAAAACAATCAGGAGTAAATATGTTACCATCTATTCTTCCTTGTAGAGGTACTGTATACACACAGTCAGCAAGGAGGATATAGCCAAGCCCCTAGAGTCTGAGAAAGGATGAATGAGAGATTTTGCATCATCTGATCTCCTCTCTCTGTCCTGTTTTCAGAGGCTTACAAGGTGTGATTGTATGCCATTTTATTTTTGTCAAGTTCAAAAAGACATTCATATCCAAATGAATGTTACCCTCTTGTTCACTTTAGAGTGGATTCTTATTCCAAATTGCTGCCGTTCATAGAAACTTCTTTTTGGACTAACATTTTATCAGTTTAAGTCACCCAAGAAAATCAGTACTTAGGGAATTTTTCTGTCTTCCTCCTTTCTTCTCTCCCTTCTTTCCTTGTTAATGAAAAAAAAAAATTATCTAGTTTATTTACCAGGTTTGGGGCTAAATGATTTTTAGATGTTTCAAAAAAAATCACACCTATGACTAAAGGTTTAAAATTTGGTATCACAAAAATACTAAAAAGAGTTTGATATGGATTCTAAAGAGGAGTATACTCTTCACCTAAAACTTATGGGAGGAAGGAAAAAACTTAAGTTCAAGGTAGGTAGGATTTATATCTTCTTATATTAAAAAGACCTATGCAAGGTGAAAGGATATCTGCCATGTGCCAGGCATTGTCCTATATGGTTTCATGTGTATTATTGCACTTATTCCTCCAACCTTAGGGAAACTGAGGCACTGAGCAGTTAGAATACTCTTAAGGTATCGCTTATGTGAGAGATAAGATTAAAATCTAGTCTGCTAGTTCCCAAATCAATGCTCTTTCCCCCAGTCAACATACTTTATGAAGTTATCTACTTAAATGTCTGCACTGAATTCATAGTGGGTCTGCCAAATCCTCTGTGCTCCCAGCATAGGTTATAACCAGGAAGTGAAGTCATAAAATCAACCTCAAAGAAGTTCAAGCTAAGGCCAGCTGGCAGTTCTCAGGGAGAGTCCATGAGCCAGAAATCACCCAAGGATAGCTCTGGGGAAAGATGTAAAGATGTAAAGCCCTTGTTGTTGTTTTTTTTCCCCTGACACAGAATGGCTTGAAACCTATTTATTTCTCTGATCTCTT